TTAGGTGTTAAACTAAATAAGAAATAACGAGACTCTAATACTAACTTTTAGGAACGAGTTGGTACTAAGAGGGGGGAGGGGTGAATTAGTGTAGTGGATAAAAACATCATCGGTTCAAAAATCTTTCGTTCGTTGAAACCGATTTTAGAAAGATGTTAACTTGAAATATGTTCGAAAGGGTGTGCAGCAAAAGTAATGAGGAAGTAAAGTGGTTTGCAATAGGTTTGCAATAAAGATAAATAGCAAAACAGAAATGTAAACTATTTTATAGTGGTTTGATCGTCGTGACCTACATCCACTCTACCGATTCCTCTTCCGTCGAGGCCACCAACATCCACTAATGGTCTTCCTTCAATAGGCAAAGACCAACCACCTATTTACAGCTCTATTCTCCTTTTGCAAGCTCAGGAGAGAGCCTTTACACCCCTATTTACTCCTCTCTTAAACTACACTAACACTTAGAGCTTTCGAGAGAAGTTCTCATAAGATTACAACATTGTTTTTCTACTTTTTTGCTCTCAATTCTTGTGTTTGTTAACCGGAGATGAGAGAGATATTTATAGGCCTTAAGTGGATTCAAACTTGGAGCCTAAAAGAGTCTCATCCCAGGTTTTTCGGGTCTTGATGGTACCACCGTCTACAGCACTGACACTAGGTCGTATCACCGCCCAGTCTGGCAGTACCACTGCTTGGAAGACTATTTGGGTGGTACCACTACCCAGACTGGTGGTACCACCGCCTAACACTGCCACTGGGTGGTACCATTGCCTGACACAGTCTCGGAGATTATGTCATGACGGTGCCGCCTGTTGGGTCACTGTTTGGGCCTTTCACTTGGTCCAACACAACCCAAACTTTGGCTCAATTGACCCCTAATTGAGTTGGCCCAATTACAATCCAATTATATAATAACTATAAATTTTAAGACATTTACTAAGCTAAATAAGTCCGTAAGTCTATGTTTCTTCTAGCGAGCTTTCGATGATCTTCCGGCGAACTTCTAACGATCTCTTTGTAATGTTCCGGTGGACTTCTGATAAGCTCCTGGACTTTACGATGATCTTCTTAGTGAGTTCCAATGAACTTCTTTGGTAAGCTCCTGGACTTCTCAGTCAATTCCGATAGAATTTCCGATGAACGTCCAGACATCTGACGAACTCTCGAACTCCCAATGAAATCTCATTCTTAACTCCAGGACTTCATTTTGCTTTATGCCTTGATCGCTATAATCCTACACACTTAAAACCTACTTCGATCTAGACAATTATTACAAAGCTTGAATTAACTATTGTCCAGCATGTCATTGGTTTATCAACACTTTGTTCAATTCTTCGACGCATCATTCTCTCTTGTGGCCTATTGCTCAATTGGTCAGCTGACCTCCGTAACTCTGATTTCCTTGGCATAATTTTTGCTCTTGTTGGCCCGATGCCTGAACTCATGGCCCGAAGTCTTCTGTCGATATGTCGACCGATCCTTCGGCTCGACGTCTAATCTTCTGACATGTTTTTCTCTGGCACAATATGATTTTTTCTGCTTTAATTGTCTCTCCTTGATCGAAGCTTCTTGTGTTACTCAAAACGCAGATTAAATTATAAACACTCTCAATTGGTTTCATCATCAAAATCCAAGATTCAACAAATGTATATTATGATATCCTTGGATCTATGCAATGAGAATTAGATCGTGATAAGATCATAATAATGAGACTAATTCACTTTTAAACACATATCCTAAATTATCCCAGTCATAGGTTACTCAAGAAGGACATTGAAATAACCAGCTAGACCGATGCGCTGTATGCTTATCCATATGATGGAGGTGATTAGTCTTATAGTCGCTCATGTAGGGATACTAAAGGTATAGTGCATGTGCTCATTAGAGAATGAGTTCACTGATTGATCCGCTTATGAAATATTGGATGATTAATGATACTTGACGTTAGACAACGATTCTGTAGTCTTAGTTATATGTTTGGTCCATTCTTTAATGCCGGACTTACATGTTTGAAAGTTTCAGATATGGTTCAACCAGTTCTCGGGAATGACAACTAACCTTACAAAGACAATTGAGTGTCAACAGAGGATCATTCACTCTCGATATTGCGAGAGGAATATTTCATATGTGCTCGCTCAGACAAAATCCCTAGCCAAGGTCGTTCGGATTGAGAGAGAAGAAGTTCTCTAAGAGAATCCAATTGGAGCAAAACTCAGATAGGATTCCGTATGAGCCTGACATTACTCTGTCCAATATACAGTCTTTGGGATATTAGATGGATAAGAGACTATAGATACATGGTAACTATAGATAGATAGGTCTGATGGATTAGATCCCACTGTACCATTTGAAGACTATGACATAGTGGCCTAGTACGTCCATAGTTGATGAGTCGAGTAAATTATTTTGGAGATAATAATTCATTATATCAAAAGGAATTATGGTAGGATCAACTCACGGCCAGCTCGGTATCGGGCCTAGAGGGTTATACACATATGGTGGATGTTGTGACGAGTAGAGGTGCAAATATGAGATATTCACGCAACCCTAGTTTGGATCCTATGGATAAGATCCAATTGGATAATTGGATAGAGATCCAATAAGGATATGATCCATTAAGGGTTAAGTTGTTAGCACCTCTATAAATAAGAGAAACCTTATGGTTCATAGGTTAGAACTTTTAGTGGTCACCCCTCTTATTCTCTTCAACCTTCTCTCCTCCTCCTTGGCTTTGGATAGCCTTACAATGCGTGTGGAGAGAGAGATTCCACAGAGATATGAGGAGCATCGTCACTACGTTCATTGTGTGGATCACCACTAGAGAGGAGTACGTGAGTTCCCACAGAGATATGAGGAGCGTCGTCACTACGTTCGCTGTGTGGATCACCGCTAGAGAGTAGTACGTGAGTTCTCCTTCATCCACTCCATCAGATTTGGAAATTTCGGGGGATATATGATCTCTCCAAGTAACATTACTAACATGATATGTGTGGTTTTTCGATTTTGTAATTTTCTTGTGTATCAATTGTCGCACAACGACCAAATACTTAACTTAAAAAAAATCTGATTTTGATTTTGTTTTTCACGATGTTGACCCATGATTTCCCAACATTTTGTGGGTTAATCTTTATCCGTAAAAACCTATATAGTATTTTAAAAATACATTATAGTATTTAAAATATTATATAATATTTTTAAATACTATATCGTATTTTATTTTAAAATACTATATAGTGTTTTTAAATCAAAGACACCATATGATGTAAAATAAATATATTATATAGTATTTTATGAATAAAAATAACCCATAATATATTGTAAACAGTTGATGTGAAAATTTTTTGAATTTGGATGAGAAAACATTATGAATAGCTTTTGGGAGGTATTTTTAAAATTTTAGAAATAGGTGGTGGTCTAAAAATTTTGAAAAGGGATACTATCCGAGAAAAACCCCAAAAAAATATTTTTACATGGACAATCGCCGAAGAATATTTGGATCCCTTAAATTTATTGTTTTCTCATGTTAAAATTATTATTTAATTATTAAAAATCTGTAGATAATATGTTTATTAAAAAAATAAACATCATTGTTAAAGTTTATTATTAAAAATTACGTGTTGTTCAATATTTATTGATCTCAACAAGTAAGATATTAAAGTATATTAGTGCATTGGCAAAGCTTTATTAATGTTATTTAGTTATTTGTCTTTAATAAATATATTTAATTTGTAATTTATTTTATTTCTTGCAGCTATTGTAATATCCTCACATAATTTCTTTCTGCACCAAAAATGTTCAAAATCTAGTAAAACAAAACAAATTTATGAGGTATTTACTAATGTCCAGATATCTTCTGTAATTGCCAATGTCATGATCACTGACGCATCGTAGATGACATATTTTGATAAGTTATACACTTAATATAACAGAACTGTTAAGTATCAATAACAAGAAAAACACAAGTACTAAACTGACCCAAACTTTTAATATGGTGAATACTCTTCAGCAATCAGGGCTCAATCCATAGATCCTAATTAGTCAACAAAGATCAACAGTTGGTATAACCTATCACGTCAATATAAATCATACCGAAAAAAATCACCCAACTAAAATATTATTCGGAGTATATCTCCTAGCTATATAGGTTCAAGGGGTCGATTACATAGAGAAGGGTCTCTTTAGATATGGAACTTCTTTAACTCTTCGAGACGCTGACGTACCTTCAAGCTCATATAAACTTGAGCAAGAAGTCTTATCAGACTAAGTTTCCCATAAAATATTCTAGATCAAAATTACTTGAATTACTATTTCAATTCGCGAGAGGCTTACCTCAAGCCAAATCATTCGAGGAGCTAACTCGACATTTTTATGCTCGACTCCTATCAAGGGGCAACGGTCAAGATTCCAAGTTACACTGATGGTTGCTTGAGACGATAAGATTGCGAAAAGAAGGGCATGCCAGATGAATTTTGAAAAATCAAATTGATAGCCAAATTTGACAGACATATTTATATAGAGTATGTTATATTTGTAGGAATATTTTGGAGGAAAAAATAAAGTGGAAGAATTTGTTAAATACACAAGTAGCAACAATATTCATTCATTCATTCATTCATTCATTCATTTTATTAATCCTTGTGAAAAATCAGATAGACATATATGTGGAGCAAATATTTTCATATTCATTTTTATAAATTAAAAATTATAACATATGTATGCCTGCAAATCTAAAACTATTTGCGGGCTTCCTATTTCTTAACAATTAACGCAAACTGTAATTGATATTAATACTCTTTAGAATATATAAAGGGTATATTAAGCAATATATATATATATATATATATATATATATATATATATATTCTTAAGTATCATAGTATTTACTTAAATTCTTTATATAGATGTCAAAGAAAGGAGTATGCAAGGGATATTTATGATTCAGAACATTATGTTTTTTGTATATATCTTCGTCATCGGTCTTATCCTTTGTACACACTTCCACATCCACACCGCGTCGGAGAAGAGCTTTCTGCCATGAGCGTCTGCTTCTTCTCCACCACCCCTCACCGGGTCACCTCCACCGCCGCGGCCTCATCTTTTTCTCGACCGGTTCACTGCCAAACCTACCCTTCCTTCCACCACTGTGGCTTCGGCCACCATTTCCGATACCACGTACCTCCCATAAAGTTCTTATCGACCCCATGGATGAGCCGAGCCCGCCTAATCGGAGTCCTCAAGGAATCCAGCGAGGTGGAGACTGATGATCGCCAGAGAGCTCCAGCGTCAGATCAAGAAGAACTGGAAGAAGCCGCCGATGGGGTCGTTGCCAACGGCGTCGTGGCGGAGACGAGCAAGGAAGGGTCGGATTTGGTTCGAAAGGTTCCCGTCAGGAGCAAGAGAAAGATTGATGAGGAGGAGGACGGGTACGATAGGTACACCCTGCGTAACGGGAGGGAGGTGTGTATTCAATCCTCCTTTTACTTGTTGTTCTCGTTGGTGTTTGAATTACGAAGAATTTGTTTGATCTTATGATAGATTGGGAGAGCGTAAGTCTTACTGATTATCAAAGAAATCATTTGGGCTGTTCTATTAATTCACATAGTGCTTGCGACGCCCCTTATCTGTGTAGTTCAATACTCGGTCATGCACATCACAGTACCTTGTTCCTGTATTTGTTCATCTCCTATTTGTTCCTTCTTAGTTGGGTTATTTATCACCCGATGCAACTGAGATGCCCAAGAAATCCTATTACTAGGTCGTTTTCAGGATTTGACTTTAGGTCGTGCACATTCAAATGTAAAATCCACAGAAAATTTATATGTATACAAATGACTAGTTTCTTCATTTTTCTGCAAGGAAAGACTTCTAGTCTCTAAACTGATACGCTTGATATTGTTTATAAAGTGAATTAACAAAATGGAGAAGTTAGAATGGAATTTAGGCTTCGAGAGTTACATATTTGGGGAACATATAATTAGAATTTGAAGTTCACATCTCAAATAAGCATACCTCCACCTGTCGGACTAGAATCAATGGGTCGATATCTTTCAAACTTATAGGTTCTTCAAAATTTTAATTTATATGTTGCAAAGTTTGTAAAAGACTGTAATTAATACCAATGATGGCCGTGCCATCCTAAATGGTATGAAATGGCAGTACGGACCAGTCCGGGCGTGGACCGATATGCAGACTGACCCGTTTCGAGTGGTCCATCCCATTCTATTGACATAATAAGTGAACCGTTGGTGTCTCTGCATCTTGTTGAAGGATTTACCTGGAAGAAAAGACTAATGGAAAATCATTTTTCATGTTTTCTGGAGCCAACCTGTGGATTTACTTGTAGGAGTGTGGATGCTGTTTGCATGATACACAGCATTTTTGTTTTCTGTTATATGTTTCCTTTAGAATTTACAGGAGCTTGCAAGCAGCATTTCTTTGTTGCTTACATTACAGCAAGTATCTATTATAGTCATAGCAACCATGTTTGAGCATTTGGTAATTTAGAATATTGATGAGTTCTAAAGATTTATTGATACATTTAATTGTTTCTTGCATTGCATATTTAGGCTTCTGGGTGAAACAAATGGATATACATGTGGTAATTAGAATGTTAATGAGTTTTGAATATTTAATAAGACATTTTATTTTTTCTTGCATTACACATTTCGGCTCACCAGTGAAATGAATGGAACTGATAAATCCACAGAAAGGAGTACTATCATGAGTGGATCATTCACTAATGAATTAACTTCAACAATAAACATGCATATCATTAAGCCACAGGAGGAAGCCGAAACTAAGGTTCTAGTATTTATACATATTTATAACTTGATGGTTTTCTACTTGTCATCTAATCTCATTCTTTTTTAGTCTTCCCTGATTTGAAAATTTTGTACATGGCTTTAATAATTGTTGTCTCTGTGTTGAGGTAGCATGTGTATTCTGATGCTTAGTAGAAATTGTGCTTGTGCTATGCAAAGCATCCATTTTATCTCAAGGAAGAATATACAAGAAAAATATGAGATGTCCTTGGTTATTCAGCACTATAGGCCTGAATGAATGTCATGCTGTTCATACTGTTAGGCCTATGGTTGCGATATTTTGGAGGAGCTTTATGAAAATGAGAATATATATGTGCACTCATATATGTTTGTTTATATATTTAAGACAAACACAGTGCTCAGTGTAGAGCAAAAATATGAACCCACAGGAGTGAAGTGGCGGACACTTTCCATAAGAAAGTGCATTTTTTTCTTTTTGGAATAAAATGAATAACAAGACAGAACAGACTCCATAACATGGTTCTAGCTCTGTCAGCTGGAAGTTGGCTTCTTGTCAAAAAAACATCAAGAACTTAACACTGAATTAAGTCTTGCTATGTAAATGAAATAGCTTGTCAGGACCAGTTGACTAGGGCTGGGTCATGATGTTTATCTGGTGTACCTAATTAAGTTTGTTTGGCATGATTGCTACTTATTGTAATATAAATTATAAACCCTCCTATCAGGAGCATCTATGATTATGTCCAGAAAGAACTTATAGGACAGAGGGGGTGAAGTGTGGGGGAGGTGGAAGTTATGGTAGGGATGCAACAGTTAGATAATAGGAGGAACGGTTAGATCACATGACCTTAAAGATACTAATTGCTTTTGTCAACTCAAACATCTTTACATAGCAAACAAACAACTGAACTTTGCCTCTATATACATACTTGAGAAACAAAAGAAAAGAAACTATGAAGAATAAAGAGATCTATTGCTTTGTCATAGATCATCGAATCACTTCTAGAGATCTATTCCTTTTTTTAGCTGATCTGATCTGTCACAGTATCCCAGAAAATCTGATATTAATTCTAGAGTATTCTACAACAACAACAATAACAAGTAGTAGTGCCTCAACTATTTGAGATTGACTACATAGGTCTTTTCACACCTTGAGCTTTGTACAAGGCAATCCCCTTGGTCACATAGGAGCATTCAAAATTTCTATTTATAATTTTCTGATAAAGCATTCTTAGATCTCCCTTTCTATATCCTTGGACTACTAATATAGATTGTCTCACCTCGGCTAACCATAAAACCTGTATGGCTCCTTATGATTCCCCATAATTTTGTCTTGTATTGGGGCTATATCTAATTGTTCCTGAATGAGAATATTTTATTTTTTATTTTTTCTGGTAATTCCACATATCCACCTTAATATTCTCATTTTATCGACATGAAATTTTTGTACATGTTTCTTGATTGCCAACACTTGGATTCATAAAGCGTACTAGCCTAACAATTATTTTATAATTTTTTTAATTCTAAGGAATGTAACAATCATAGAACAACGTTATTAAAAGCGCTAGGTGCTAAAATGTGTCAAGGTCCTATAACGCTTGAGACGCTAGGCGCTTGCTTGAGTGAAGCAAAACGCTCTAAAATATAAAAATATAAAAATATAAAAATATAAAATATAATTGATAAATGTGGTTATATAAATAAAATATGATATTAAATTAAAAATATTTATAGTGCCAAGCTACATTATCCATCTTCTAATAACAAAAATGTTAAAAGACTCAAAACCAAGGTCGGCCATACCGAAGCGTACCGCCCATATCGGGTGGTACGTACCGGTCCGACAAGTTATCGGTACGCGGACTGCTCGGTACCGCTACAGTGCTACAGTATAATACCGTAGCACCGCTACAATGCTACAGTATGAAAAAACTATAAAATTATTCGGTACACCAGGGTGCACCGCTCGGTACGCCCTGATGTACCGCCCGGTACACCGGTACCGAGCCCGAGTCGAAACGTCGGTACGATACGGTACGACGAACCTTGCCCAAAACAATGAAGTTCTATATCAAATTCAATCATCATCATAAGCAACATCGTCATTTTCAAGCTTATCATCATATTTCTCTTCCTCTTGTCCATCTTTATCGAAATAAGTTTTCTCCTCTTCAACAATGGCAGGAGATGAACTTGAGGCTTTTGTACTCATTTTTCTCTTTATCATCTGTCTTGTATGTTTGTAATTCTTCAACACCTGAGATGTAGCCATAATAGTAGTGCTAAATAGGGTGAGAAAAGGAGTCACCGATGGTGAAACGTGAGGAAGGAATTACTGACGGTGGAACGTGAGGCTGGGAGAGGGTGGCAATGACGGAAGAACCTTTGGATGGCGACAAATGAATCTATAGATGATGGTAACAACAACGATGGAGGGAGCACATGCATCGGCAGCGGAGGCGGGGAGCGCAGGCATCGACGACAACTGCCTTTGACGGACTAAAGGTGAGTCGCGATGACGAAATAAGGTTCGGGGGTTTCGCAGGGGGGTGGGGGGTGGGGGGTTTACCGTAATGTTTAGTTGGTTCAATTAAACCAACTAGGTAATATTCAATCAAACCAGAGTTGACCATCTGGTTCGATTGCTCACCTTCAATCGGGCGCTCGCTCGATGTGCCTGATGCCTGGGTTCAAGCAAGTTCCTAGGCAACGCTTCACTGAAGCGCGTCGTTCGGCTTCTGTGCAAGGCGCTTGTGCCTCGCCTTGCCTTGCTCGAGCGCCTAAGCGGGCGCTTGAGTGCCTTTTGAAATCAATGTCATTGAAAACTTTGACACTCCTCTTCACTTTAACTTTTATCTTTTACTCTACGATTGATGTTTTCATTAATCTTTCTATCTTGTTGTTTAATAGATCCAAGATACCTGAAATATTTACTTATAAAATTTTCTTATTCATTAATTACATCCTTTGTTCTTCTTTTAGTATTACTAAGATTACATCTCATGTATTTAGTGATAGTGTTACTTAATTACATTTCATATATTGAGTCTTAGTGTTAATTTAAAACTTTTAGTTTTTATGGTTTGTCTACTTCCGTAAGTTCAAAATTGATTTAATTTAAACTGTCATTACTTAAAAAAATATCATTATGGCTAGTAAGTTCATCCTTTAGTGATGTAAAAAGATAAGGATTTCAAGTTGACCCTTCTAGAGTATTCCATTGAGAATGAATTGCTTGCTGATATGTCAGGTTACTAACAAAAATGTGGCCAGATAACTCTCTTTAAATGTCAGCTATCATATTTATGCACATCCATATAGATTGCTTTCTGGTTTTCAATTTGAAAGAGTACTACAAACATCAGCAAGCTCTTGTGAACTAGCTCTAATTACTTCATGGGAATCATTTGTTGTGTTGTGTGTTTCTGTACACAAGAGAGGTAAGAAGATGTTTGCTAATCTTGACTTGCAATCTAGATTTTGCTGGTTCTATTTGCAGATCAATCATCAATAAGGTTTTTACACTTTCTTCTTTGAACTTTTTTCCCCCCATTTTTGCACTTTTCTGGTAAAGTTTCTTGCCTAATTGCAGTCTGATATTTAACTTTCTTATTTTTTGTTATTTTAAATCTGAGAAATTATCATCTTAAGATTGTAGGTGTTTCAAGAAAAAGCGTACCTTGTTGGAGTTGAATGTAAAGGTACTGAAGATAACACATTCAGTATCGAGGAATCACTTCAAGAACTTGCACAATTAGCTGATACTGCTGGACTTTCAGTTGTTGGCTCTACTTATCAAAAGTAAGTTCCCTTCTCTTATGGAAACTGATTTAGTAGATAGTTCTTTGTATGCATTTATAAAGGCCCAAAATATATATGATTTTTTGATGTATATACTTAAAAAGATAATCTTGTTGAGGGTTTTTTAGCTGCCATGAAATCCCTTCTCTAACCTTACATGAGAAAAAGGAAACTTAGCTGCAATTGTTTCTGTTTAAAATGTACACCTAACTAGTTTCCTCACTTCTGATCCAGTCTCACACAATGTGTCATATATAGCTAATTGTACACCTTTGTGTATTTGTCTCCCTTTGAGATTCATAAAATGATTCTTGTATGTCTCCATAGCAACAGTTTGTGAAAACACGACTAGCCACAGCCATCTGCTTTCTAAAAACTTTGTTTTAAGGAATTTCTGAGTGGTTATTTCAAGCACTTTGATTCATGGTTGCTTTCCATCTGGTCAATTTAATATTAGTTTTTTTTGGTGTTCTTTAATTGTTAACAATGCTTTGAACCTGGGGCTGAGTCGGGGAAATTAAAACAAAAAGGCAGAACCTTAGGAAGGTCTAAACGGATTATTAAATGTTAACTTTTTTGTGGTGTTAATGTTCTCTCTGGGTAATGATTTTCTATCATGTTCTAGAAGGATTAGTGGCCAGATGACACTTCCATTATTAACCTTTTCCCTTGTGTCTTCTACTTTTTCTTTAGTGCAGTTGCTAATGCATCCAAAATTCAAAGATCTCTGGATTCTCCTCCACTTTGGTCATTGCAAATTATTGCTTTTTGTATGAATATTTTAAAAGGCCAGCTTTAGCACCATGGTAAAGTTTCTACCTTGCTTTCTGGTGTAGAGTATTCGAGTAATAGTCTCTTTTACTTATAGGGCCAATGCTGCCTACATGAAGTCTCCCCAGACACTGAGTTGGCAGGTGCCTTGTTTTGGCTGCCCTTTTTTTTTGTGTTTCTGAATTGCAGCAAGAGACAGTACAGTGCTATTTAATCTTTTGTGCAGTGGCTGTCCTTTTTATGTATGGGTATCTCGAATCTGGCAATAGATATCATTCAACACTTTTTCTTTTTCTCTCTCATTGTTATGATGTATAGTCTAATGCATTCTTCTGCTATTTGCCTCAGCTATATAAAACGATGAGATATGGTCTCTTGGTAAATGAACTTTCTTGGTTTTTAGCTCCTATGATGTATGCTGTCTAGTTTTGACTTTCAGTTGTATTGCTTTGGTACTTCTGCTGAATACTTAAGATTTACTTATGCACACTGATCCAAAGCTTTTGGTTAGGCTTGCTAATCCAAATCCGAGGACATATATTGGCTCTGGCAAGGTTGCTGAAATCAAGAGTGCAATTCATGCCCTTGATGTTGAAACTGTAATTTTTGATGATGAGCTGTCAGCAGGGTAAGATTCTCATATATTTACTGTCGCAAGGAAAATATGCATTTTAATCAGTTTAAAGCACAAACACATCCATAATTCAGAAAGTAAAAACATGTATTCTGTTTATGTCATTCCAATATGATTAAAAATGCAAGACTATTAAAAGCTTCTATGTTAATCTCCATCAACTGAGTTTGGTAGCACGTGAGTATATTTGCACAAAGGTACATGCATAGCTGAGTCATGAGGACAGCTATATCTCATAAAATATTGTCTACGATCATTTAATAGGAAGCTAGTTGCTTAATTTCATGATCTTCCATTGTGTATGAAGAAAATTGCAATCCTGTCCCTTTGACTTTCTACGTGGTTTTAACTGCTGTTCTTTGATTTTTCACATACTTTCTAATAAGGAATTATATCTTGGATACCAACTACTCTCTGGTGATATCTCGATATGTTGGTATGGTGACGTACTATGACATGCCACCAATAAATATATAAAAGAGTTGATGTGCTGGTATGCTTTGGCAAGATATTGCATATTTAAAAACAATTGCACTAGTTTAATATGGTCAATTTGGTGAGCACACCATGGTACTGAAATTCATGCTTTGCAATTAACAAAACTTGACAGAAAGCAAGTTGAAAGTCATGAAGTAATTCTTCTAAATTAAAAAATAATGCTTAGTGGAAGTAAAATTGCTGAAGTTATGGATCTATTTGATGACAATTATCACCAAGTTATAATAAAATAAGTTTTCTTGATCCTGAGAAAAGGATAATAGACAATTTTAGGATTAAAAATTGATAAAAGTAAGAAAAAAATTATAAGAAAATGTAAACATAATTAAAACATATAAACAATTGACTGATTTGGAATTAAAACAAAACTATTATAAATAACAGAAAAATTGAAAAGTGAATAATTATATTTAGTAAGAAAAGTTGAATAAGAACTTACTTAAATTATTAAAAATTTAGAGAAGAGTTACAAATTTGTGAAAATTGAATTTCTATAGTTTTTTCATAAGAAAATTTCATAGGTTTGCTGAAAATGTCACTATGCCTCAGTTTTGATGACATGCTTTGCAGAGTGGGAACAATTCAAATTCTTTATTGCAATTGATATTCTTAATTAAAATAAATATTATAATAGGTAAAGGGAATGCAGAATATGTGTCAAATGGGAAAATATGTTCTTTTCATGGAATTTAATTATTTTGGAATGTCCTCTTTAAGAAGTGCAAATAAATATATATTAAAGTTGTTTTGATGGTACAATTTTGTTTTTAATATTTTGCCACTAGTTAAATTTTATGAATGTAAATCGGTCTTGAAACTCACCATTTTAGAGGAAGAGAAACTCATAGGTATTAGAAACGATGTGCTAATTTTTTCTTTCAATCCAGTATATCTAAGTTAAAGGTTAATATAAAGACCAATGCTGTCTGATGCTATCTATTAACCTGGTTAAATTTTGTTCATCATTAAAATTTGCTGATGATGTTTCTTTAATATAAAAGGGACATTTGGACAAGTTTACAAGTATGACTGATTGTGTAGCGCATGACTAATATAAGAAATAAACACACCAATGCAGATCTTCAAATAGCAGTCCTTCTTTGCCTTCTTTTGGTTCTTTTCTTTCTCATGTGTGCTTTTATTTCATATCATTCTGTAGACAAGAGTAGTTCCAATGCATTTATTGTTCATAGTAGCTGTAATCCTGGTAACATTTGGAATCTTTAAACTTCCAGACAGCTGCGCAATTTGGAGAAGGCCCTTGGTGGGGATGTTCGGGTATGTGATCGAACTGCTCTCATTCTTGATATCTTCAACCAAAGGGCTGCAACTCATGAAGCAGCTTTACAGGCAAGTATATCCACTCAGCATTTTGATTCTGTTATTTTGGATCTCATTGGAATCAAAATAATGTACCAAAAATCAAGGTATGTAATACCGTACCGTACCGGTGTTTCGAGGTTGGCTCGGTACGGTATGGTATCATGTACCGAGCGGTACGCCCAGGGTGTACCAAGCGGTACACCTAATTTAGGTCTAAAACCCTCCGAAAATACCTGAAAATAAAAAAAAAGTTAGGATAGGTTTTTTAAGTTAGAAATAAATATTGTAATTGCATAAGTTTAGCAAAATCAATGTAAATTAGTAAGAATAGTATCACATATCTTTTTCGGGCTTTGAAGAATATCTTGTGCAAGGTTTGTATTTCAGTCCATTACAGATTGTCCTTATGTAAATATTAAAATATCTACAGAAAAATCATTTGAATTGTTAGACTATTTTGTTACAATATAAACTCTAAAATTTAAATGAATTAAATAATCACATATGTAGATATACCTGATTGTTGATTCTACCATCAAAACGAACGATGGGCCTTCATGGGTGGTGGATCAGGGTCCTCGATCCTATACATCTGCATATCAATGTGATATATTTGTTGGACCCAATCATAAAATTGATCCCATGACATAGTGTATTGATACACCGTATGTCATTGATGCATCAATGTGGTGCTGATCGTCATGAACCATATTCGTCACAAATCGTTATTTTGTAGAGTTTTGGAGGGCACAAATGTGAGAAAAAAAAAGTTTGAGATAGTTTAAGAGAGTATGAAAATGTAATGGAGTGAAACAGGGGAGAAGAAGGGTTTAAATACTATGAGAAAGGGCTCCAACGGTCAATTTGACCGATGGAGCACTGTAGCACTGGTACAGTGTGAATCGACTGTTACCGAGCGGTAACGGTCGATTTATCGACCGTTACCGAGTTGTGCCGGGCGGTAACGGTTGATATTTTGACCGTTACCGCTCGATATTACCCCGTATCGTTCGATACGGGGCGCTTTTAAACGTTCCGCCTGGTAGCGAGCGGTCCGCGTACCGGTATGCCGTCGGACCGGTACATACCGCCTATACCAGGCGGTACCATTCGAAATTGCATACCTTGCCAAAAATGCATTTATTAGTCATATTCACTGTGGAACATTTGTTCTCATGTTGCTCGTCTCATTTTGAGCTAGGAAACTAAAAGTATATATCTATGTGGATGCGATCCTAGAGATTGCAATAGTTAGTTCTCATGTAGTTCTTCTAAAGCAAATAATCAATCAGACATTTTTTAGTTTACGTGACTCAAGTTACGATATACAAGTGCTAGCATAAAAGTTTACTGAATAGAAGTTGCAAATTATCACAATAGCAGAAAATAAAAGGGGCATACTTAGTACACAAGGCTCCCGCTAATGTGGGGTCTGGGGAGGGTCAATATGCAGTCTTACCTTTAAATATTTAAAAAGGCTATTTCTGTGACTCAAGCCCCGGTCTCCCATGTCACAAAGAAGTAACTTTACCATTGTACCAAGGTTCACCCTTATCACAATAGCAGGCAATGATGTAGATAATTAAATTCCTTGGATATCAAGAGCAATTTTAACACCTCTTTGATTGTTACAGAATATCTCTTCAATTTAAGTCCTCAATAGTCTTGGAGTTATCCTTTTTTCTTATAAAATGCTATATTTTGAAGCTTCTCCTCCAATTCTTAGTTTTAATTTTGGTTTAGTGAAGCTATTATGCTTGGGTCTTAATAGCTTGTGATATGCTAAACTCTTCCAAACCTCAATGAGAATTGAATCAAGTGCTACACTTTTATGATTAGGTTGTGGAAACTAGTTAAGATATGGATTAGAAAAATCGAGAAGAAGTTATACAACAATGGGATTGTTGGACATTGACTCAACAAACATATATGTATTTATTGTAAGGTAATTATTCCCAGCAGCTGGACATATCTTTTTGGTGAAATGACTTGTTTATGAACCTAAAACTGAAGTATCCTAATTGTCTTTTTTCCTTCACATTTATAATTCAAAATATCTTCTGTCTTCTATCTTTGGCGTGTGTACGAACAATCCTAAAACAATTACATACACAAAAATCGAATCTCAGATCCTGGATCCATATTGGTCCAGTGGAGTGGCATGGGTCCGGTACATACATGCGTATCGACACATGAACATGGAACAGAAAGCCTAGGGTAATATTGTAAAACCCATGTCAACATGAACAAGAATTCCCTATGATTGTGTAGAGATTAGACCCCAACTAATTAAAGGGTAAAAAAATGTGCAAGGATTTTAGAAAATGTGTTTTTATTGATGTCCATTTTGCACAGAGGTTGGAAGCTAACTCTTCCTTTCCTTTGTTATTTCCACTTTTCCTGTGCTATGAGTGATCTGTTAAGGATTGCTGACATTAGTCTCAAATCTGTTGCTCCACATGCCTTCTATATATCTTGTAATCTTGAGCCAACCTTTGTAAGCCTGACATTGCTTTTTGATTCATGCTTTTGTGTTTCATTCCTTATCTTTCATCGAATATTTGATGATGTTTGGGCTTCTTTATCATACTTAAGGGATAAAAATCTTATTTTTAGGTTGCTTTAGCGCAAATGGAGTACCAGCTTCCCAGGTTGACAAAAATGTGGACTCATCTTGAACGTCAGGCAGGTGGCAAGGTTAAGGGAATGGGAGAGAAACAAATTGAAGTGGACAAGCGTATCTTGCGTACTCAGGTCAGCTTTTGAGTTTCCTCACCTAATTTTTTTTCCTTGTTGCATAGAGTACTATAAATATGGTTCAAGCAAGTTATATTGATGGAAGCAGTGCTGCATATAGGATTCTATAAGGTGAATGTGATGGCTTGAAGGGGCTTACAAGGCCATGCAAATATTGTTTTTTAGAATTTCCTGTGCCTTTTATTAGTGGCATGCAAATATTGACTGCCCTTCCTTCCCCCACAAAATCATTGCTATAGATAAAAACACCAATGGAACCTTTTTTTTTCTTTTTTCACTTTTAAAGCCCCCTCATTTGTCTAAGTTGACAATATCATACCTATTTTCCATATCTACAAACATTATTTTTAGATTTCTACTAACGTCTTCCCATTTTTAAGTAATTTTTTTTTCTTGTTATGAACACAAATATTTAGGTCCTAATAAGGTTCGCAATACCGTACCGTACCGACGTTGCTTGCGACGTTCGC